CGACAGAAGACTTGGAGGGTGCATGCTGCCCACTGAAAATGTGCTTTTAGCTCCAATTCTGTGTTTCCTTTCTTTCTTTTATATATCATATATTTCCTTTCCCTCATACATATTTTCAACATATAACAAGGTGATAGCTTATGAGAGTGAAAACCTAAGTGACGCTAGTTTGAATTTGAGATTCTATTACAAGTAAAAAGTAGCTTCTAAGGGAACAAGATAGCTCCATAATGGACCTGGCCCCCAGAGCTTCCTAGGCTATGGTGGGGACCTCCATGGGGACCTTGGGGACCTCAGTGGAGAAAGGCGTGTGGAGGTAGGCAGCTCCTCGCAGTTACTAAGCTGGCCGCTCGCTCCTTCACAGCCTGTTGCAGTGGCTGGTACTGCTCTACAGAGCTGGCATGACACTCCCTGTGCATACTTGTATTTTAATGAGTTCTTCAAAAATGCTGACACCTAAGAGAGTTATATGAGTTCAGTCTGGACCGGTGACCCAGAGCCTTGACTGCAACATAGCTCCTAATGCATCTGAAAGGTTTGAGATCAGCATCTTTACTGGCCAGTTCTGCCAAGGAGGCTGTGATTTGGAATGCGGTGTTGTCCTCGGGGCTGTGCCTCTCCTGTTAGCTCAGCATCTGCTGGGGGATAGACTGCATCTGCACTGGCACAAAGGTAACAGACTTGTGTATATTTCTCATATATTTTAAAGGTTCTGTTGCCACCATGAGGGGTATGTCTTCCTGGAGGAGACTTATGGGTTCTCCATTTTAGATTATTAGCCAACAGCTGCGAGCATCTGGGAGCCCTTCCTGCAGATTTGGTGTATATCATGGATTCCATCTTGCTCTGGAAGGACTTTGTCTAACAGAGTTACAGAGAGATGTAATGTACTCTCTAGGCTGCTTGTCATACAGCAAAACCTCGTTCTAGAGGAATAGACAGACCTACTGTCTCAGGGAGTTCTCGAGTCCTCTAATAATCTGAGATCCCAGGGAATCTCACAGCTCTTCTGGGTCCTGCACCATGAAAGCGCTCCTTCCTCCCTGCCTGAAGGAATCCTATTCAGCTGTGAGCATCTCAGTCCACTCAGTGTGAAACCCACCCTAAAATCACTGACTCATGTGCCTGGCACGGATTCATATGTCCAGCGTGGTGTGCATTTCAGTTTTGGGAAGGCTGGTTCTGAGTGACTCTCCCCCACCCCCGGCAAAAGCCTTGGTGACTTTTGTACTCACCTTTGTTATTTGCTGTCCTCACCCTTCCCCTCTGAGTGAGGTGTGTGGGGCATAAGCTAGATGTTGAAATGTTCTGTTGCTTTGAAATGGCATTTAGCTTCTGACAGACAGAGTGTACTTGCTAGACAAAAACATAAGAAAGTGGTATGATTTCTTAATGCTAGATTCTGCGTCATAAGTATAGTGACGAATTTCCTGAGATTCATATATTTTTGAAATCAGATGAATATTCTCTTCTTAAAGGTCTCTGGCGATGCTCTGAGTCTTTGATTATGCAGTCCTGTCAGCATGCTGCTGACACAGAGTGAGTTTCCCAGCAGAGGCAGTTGTGTTTCACCTGTGGTGTTCAGTGTGATAGTTTCTCCAAAGGTACACTTTGGGAAACATTAAGAGATTTGAGTTGGAAAATGGAAATTTGGGAAACACTGTAAATTTCACTGTTGTTCAGAAATATTTGTCACTCTTTCCTGGGAAAGAATAAAAACATCCCCAGGCTGATCACATGAGGGCTGGCGGAGACTTTCTCTTACCAGTAGAGCAGGACAGGAAATATATGTGGCATTTCTCCCATGGCATCCAGCAGTCGTACACAGAACTAAGTGGATCTGTAGCGAAAAAGAAAAGAAAGCTTTGTCGTGAACTACCGAGAATTGAAGCTCTTTGTTACTACAACATGGTCTAACCTACTGAGTGATGGGTCTAATGAGAGAGCCGAGGCAGAGAGAAGAAACGGAAGCCACGGGGCCAGGACACCGGCGACTCCCGTCAAGTCACAAGCTAAGAGCACATCTTGAAGTCACTTCAAGACTGAATCTGCCAGGAGGTTTCAAACTAAGACTCAGGAGAGATGCTGAATCTTAGGTATATTAAATCAACTGAAGAGTCATATTAGGGCTGGGGATTTAGCTCAGTGGTTCTGGCGACTGCCGCGCAAGCGCAAGGACCTGAGTTCAATCGCCAGTACCAAAAAAAGAAAAGAGAAAAGAGTCACATTCATATCCCTTGTTTCACTCACGTAGTACACAGAGTAGAGGTAGTGGTGCCGACACTGCGGTGTGTGAAGAAACACATTCCTTTCACAAACTGCTAGGAAACTGCACAGCTCAGTAAAGATGATCTTAGCTTGATAATAATAGTGATTATACTTTTAATGAGAAGAAGTAATACAAGAAGGTGGCCGTCTACATTGAGAAGGAGAAAGACAGAAGATGTGGTGCCAGCTCAACACCCTGGAATGTGAACGAGGGAAGCTGTGCTTAAGAGCAGTGGACCGAAACAAGCAGAGGCAGGAAATGTGCACCATTGTTATGAGGCAGTGAGTGTCTCTTTGGCTACAAAAGGATATGCATAATGCAGAGAGTTGATGGAAAGTAAAACTGAAGTTAATTTGGGAGAACGTGAGGAAACTAAAATCCCCAGGTGAGCATTTTGGTGTTTGTGGAAAGCAAAGAGCCTCAGAACATCTCTGAGAGGTGAACGACGGTGTTGCCGCTGCGCTCCCATGAGGTGTACACGGGCCGGGGGCTGGAGGGGACGGGCCCACGATGCAGCCTCAGCGGCCCCTCCTGTCAGCGTTCCTGGTTTACATGGACCGACACGGGGCAGTGGGGCTGTGTTAAACCCGCACACGGGGAGGCGTGGCTGCGCTGACACTGTTGGAGAAACTGGCCAACCGTGGAGCAAAAGATCAGTGTACACTTCCACCTCGTTACACTCTGGCAGAGTTGCCAACTTCCAAAGTACTGGCCTGTGGGTAGACCCCTATTATTAACCTGCCCTGGCCTAAAAACAAATTTGAGAAAATGAATGGCACAGATGCAGTTACACGCAAAGCGAAGTGCCTACGTGTCTCCCGTTTAAACCCATTATAAGTTTTAGTACAAACGACTGAGGATGGGCTGTGGACACCACGAGCAAAGCTTAGAATATCAAACACTAAACTGGAGAGGTTAAAAACTGTAAGAGGAAAGAGATTAGAAAAATGAAACAATTTTGAGATAATTCACAAGATTTAATGCAGAGGAAAACAGGAGATATTCAGTTAAATTAATTAAAGGGACACATTATTCTCATGAAAATGAGCAGAAGTTAAGGGATGTTATGTAATACCACGTTTGCGGGCTGTGACAGGTGCTTTTATTAAATACAGGTAGTGGCAGTGCGCCTTGTCATGATTCTTTGGCAAAGTAATTTGACAGTACATATTGTCCTTGCAAGTCATTTCTTAGCATATTGATCTGAAAGGAATGTATCTAACTGTAGCAAAAAAGCTCTGATCACAGATACTTGTTTTATAAAAGTAGAAATCACCTAAATCTATAGCACTCAAGAAATAGTACCCCAAAACTACACATGTCATTCTATATATTTGATGGGAAATTGGAAGGAATTTAAACTTGTTTACACATAGTTTGTGACAACTATGAAAATATCTATGCTATGATGAACAGTACGTTATACGAATTTGATCAGCGCTTCACAAAGGAAGCTGTACCCATGCACACAGAAAAGACTGGAGGAAATCCCCTAGATTGTCATCTTTCATTGTGGTGTTTACTAGGTGACTTCTTGTATCCTTGGTGTAATTCTGCCTGAGAACGTGGTTGATAATAAAATAGGAAGCCAGGGGACAAAACTGTTCATCTTTTGTAACTAAGGCAATAGTCAATGTGAGTGAACCTGGTTGCTAAGTAAAAGAATGAGGACCTGGGGCAGAGGGAGTGGTGGACCATTCTGGGGATGCATGTGTGTGGGTGGCAGTAGACAAGAGGCACTTGGGGTAGAAGGAGACCCAGGGAGACGAGTCCCTTGAACCGTAGGGCCTTCCCTCTCAGGAAGTGTGAGCTCTCTCTCTGTGAAGGAGGGAGGGCAGGAGGCAAGGAAGTCATGAGAGACGTGTGTGGGAGAAGGCGTCACAGGTTAGACTTCCAGCACTGGCACCCAGGAGACAGGAGCTGACAGGATTGGAGCCGGCAGTGGGGTCTGTTGCAATGGACAGAAGGAAATGTAGGCTGCACTTGCTTTTTGTCTGGAAAACAGTATAACGTGGCACAGACAAACATCACCCTAAACACGGCCAGCTTCTTCCTCAATCTTAATGGCAGCACTGGAAGGATTTCCAGGTGTGCTGGTGAGACAGACAATCTGAGGCTCCCCTGGATTCGGCACACAGGACATGGGCAGGTGCCTCCCTTGGCCCGAGCCCTCTCCGTGGGCAGAACGCTGCTGCTGAGACTGACTGCCCTGCCCTGACTTCTTAGGCTGCCCGAGCCGTCCCAGCTGGTCTTTCAGAGCCGAGTGCCCAAACTGTACCCCAAACCCACTTACAGCCTGGGCACTGAGGGCTTAGTTTGGGAAGACAGTGGTTATCCCATGCTCAGCTGCTGGGGTCACCACCCTCTCTAGGGCCCAGCCTCTGGCTCCTCTGCTCAGGACCCTCTCGTGGGTGGAGGGGACAATGGGGGAGTCTCCCCTGCTGGGAGGGAGCGGGCATGCGTGAGGTGCAGACAGGACATTTGGCATGATGCTGTCTTCTGACCTAAAGTTCCCCATGGCTTTCTGAAGAACAGCTCTCCCCTGAGTGTCCAGCCCTGTAGTCCATTCACGTTACCTGTCACAAGTAGATAGGAGCACACTTCCCTCTCACCCCCGCCACGGACAGCACAAGGCAACAGGAGCACAGCCGGGCTCGTGGACCCGTGGAAGTCGAAGCCCAGCTTCCGTCCGCTGTGTCTTCTCCGCTACTCACCTGTCTCTTCACCGCAGGTGCCTACCCTCGACTCTCGCTGAGTTTCCGGTTGAAGAGAAACATCGGGTACTTCATCCTGCAGACATACATGCCCTCCATACTGATCACCATCCTCTCGTGGGTGTCCTTCTGGATCAATTACGACGCGTCTGCGGCTCGAGTCGCCCTCGGTACGTGCTTCCTCTAAGTGAGCTCTGTGTGTAAAGTGACCGCATCATTGCGGCATTAAAAGGGTTAGAGGTTCAACTACGGCTTTTTGACATCGTGACACCAGCCTTGCCCACATAGTCACTTTTTATCTCGGAACACTAATTTCATGTACAATCCCCTTGGTGTGTTAATTTAATTATAAAGCTGGAATGTGAATTTCCATGCCCGTGAAGGGAAATACGCTTGCAGAATATTTGCATAATACAACTATTTTTGACACTAATTTTCAAGCAAGGATTAACATCTCCTGCTCAACATTGTTCTGTGTCCCAGATGGAAGACTTGATTAATTGTGCATTCTTCTTTTTTAAGTCAGAAAAATAGTCAAATATTACGGAATATAATTGGAATTACAGAATTTAATGAGCATTAAAATAGGCAGTTAGACTCTGGGTAGTTCAGAAGAGCCTTAGTGATCTCTGCTGACCATTGGTTGCTTGACAATTTGGATTATTAGATGATAAATGATATATCTTATAGATCTCATTATTTTTCACATTTCATTTTGAAGGGAAAACTTATATTTTCAGAAAAATTACCTAGCTAATTATTATGAAACTTCATGAACAAAATAATGACTTGCATACATTTTAGGTCAGTACAGAGGTAATGAGCAATCACAGTACATTCATTCTCAGGTTGATTTTGACCCTAAAACTGTAATTAACAACAGGCATTTTAGAAATTGATGGAAAAGCACTACCAACATCCTTGCTGGTGCAGTGATTCAGGGTTCCGGCTATGCCTTCTTGCCTTCCATTCTCTGTTTCCAACATTTCCCAGGACTTCAGTTTCTTTCTCCATGAGGATGTGTGGATGTGGGTGTCCAGTTTAGATCCGGGGCACACCTTGCACACCTGTCCTCAAGATTAGATTTGCCCGGGAAATGAGGGAAAAAAATCAAGTGGCTATTCCTAAGGATAGAAGGCGAATTAAGAAAAGACTTTGAGAAGAATGATGTATCAACACACAAATTCTGCATTGCTATGTGTTTCTCTTTGTTGTTAGTATGCATTTGCAGTACATATTATTACATTGCTGTTTTGGAAGTGGTACATCGCACATCTTGATTCTGCTTTTCACTTCCTTCCTATCCCCAGCCTATCTCCTGGTCCTCTTCCCATTGAGAAAGTCCTATCTCCCTACTTCTCCCTACTTCCCGTTCTCCATCTTTTACTTTGCTCTTTATTTGTACTTTGTGTTTCTGATATAAGTGAAACCATATGATATTTAAGCTTGTGAGTCTGATTTTTTTCACTCAACGTTATGGTCTCTTTTCCTACGAGTGAATCCAGTGTGCCTTTCTTTATGGCAGAGTAGTACTCCACCATGTGTGATGGCCACATTTTCCCTATCTAGTCAAGAAAGGATGCTCATTGTGAAGAAATCAGATAATAACAAATGCTGGTGAGGCTGAAGGGGAAAAGGACACTTCCACATTGTCATGGGAATGTAAATTAGTGCAACCACCATGGAAGTCAGTATGGAGAGTCCTCAAAACACTAAGACTAGAAATTCCAGTGGACCCAGCTGTCCCCCTTCTTGGTCTCTTCCCGACAGAGTTACAGGCATCGTTTTACAGTGACGCATGCACACCATGTTTATAGCAGCACCATTCATAACAGCCAGATCTTAGAAGCAGCTTATATGCTATTTATTTCTAGTGGATGTGGAAGGCAAATTTTTCTTTAAAAGATATAACTAGGATTTCCCTGTAAATTTTACTTTTTAATATTACTAGATTATTCTTTGTTAAACTATGTCCTTCTCACCTGAAAATTTTAGTGACATAAGACATTTATGGGACAGATTCAAGTTTTATGGCATTGTTAAAATTTTTCTTTTAAGAAAAATAATATAAAATATGTAAACACAACTTGATAGGCGCCATCCCTAAGCCTGTCCAAATGGAGACTGGAGGGTAAGACTTGATGAGCTTCAGAGCAAATCTGCCGAGGAGAGTCTGTCCTTAGCGTGATCATTAGAGATGTATCAGGGGCCGAAGAGCCATGAATTTGGGGCATCACAGGGGTGAGGGGTACTGACAGCATGAATCCTGACTTTCCTAGCTACTGCAAGTTCTGTGCATCCTTAGTTGTGAAATGTTGTCTTCCACTATGTGAAACATCATCTATCCGGTAGTTTATACTCGCCCACCTCTGACACACCATGTGAAAATAGACCACTTTTCATTAGCAGGGCAGCATGATGAGACTGGACTGGGCCCCCATGACTGTGCTGGCAGCACAGAGTCCTCTGGCCAGAGCTGCTGTGGTCTCGTCCTAGAGGACAGTCAGGCTCTGATGGGTGTCAGAGGCCTGGAGGGGATGAGGGGTGGGGATGGGGGGCTGTGCCCAGTGTCAGGGGAGTGGGACGGGGCGGTCTGAGAGACAGCTAGGGTCAGAGGCTGTGGGCTGTTTTCAGAGCAGAGCCCAGAAGTCCCTCTTACAGGGATGAGGCCTCTTCTGACCTGGCTCTGCCTCTGGGATAGCTCAGTGCGGGATGCTATCTTTAGAAGGTTGACTTCAGAACCCTGAAGTTCAGTGATCAGTGAATAATATCAGTTAGCCTTTATTATTTGTATTAGAAGGATAAAAATACAATGTTCTGATCATGTGATGCAAATAAGTGATTTTTTTCTTAGCCATCTAGTATTTAATCATTTAATTTTGGTACCAGGGATCAAACCCGGGTCCTTGCACTTTGAAGGTGCCAGAACCACTGAGCTAAATCCCCTACCCGTCATAGTCATCTTTATAAATGTGGTTTTTCAACTATAATATTTCATGAGCATAATTAAGTAAGAACAAAGGCTAACAATTAGTAAAGAATCCTAACAGCCTGGTGAATATGCAGAGAACACGAAAGCTACGACCACCAAGCCCTTTCCTGTGCTGTGGTCAGGCGTTGCTCCTTGGGAGAGAGCAAATTCAGAGCAAGGCCAGCAACCTGAGGGCTCCTTAGTCCTGCTCTGAAATGCTGGAGCTCCTGCCAGCTGCCCCGTGTCAGCACACCATGGCCACTGGAGGCATCGTCTTTAGCAACAGCAGAGGCAGGAGTCTAAGGTGGTGCTAGCTTCGACCAGACACACAAGACTCTGCCTTGCCAACTCCTGACCACCACAGTCCACAGCTGTCCGCAGCATCCTAACAGGAGCAAAGTGGCAGGAGGGTTCACAGCCCGGAGCGCCGAATTCATCTGTTGCCATGGCTGTAACCCATCTGAGTACCGAACACCCAAGGCTGGGGAATGTATAAGGAAAGGCAGTTGATATCACTGAAAGCTGTGTATGTTTAGCAGCACGCCACCTACACCTGCGGGGAGCCGATGAACCTCCCACGGTGGCGTCCTGTGTAGAAGGCGTGCCAGTGGCAGTGTGTGTGCCGGGGCAGATCACATGGCAGAGCAAAAGCCAGAGAGCATGAGGGGCCTGTGCTGCTTTTTTGCAAGCACTGACTCTCTCAGAGGAGCTGTCCCAGGCAACAGCTTGCTCTCTTACAGGGCGGTGGCCCCAGAGATCTCCCACCAGGTCCTTGTCCACTATGAAGGCTCCACCGTTCCCCAAAACCACCATCCCGGGGACCAGTCTTCTGACACCCGAGCTACTTACTGGAGACACAGCCCCAGCCCAGATAAGAGTGGGCACTCGTGTTGCCCGCCATCCTGACGCCCCGAGCCTGTGCCAGGGCCCTGCCGTGCTCCTCGGCCTCACGGCCAGGCGGAGAGCAGGCGGGAAGCACTGGCTGCCTCTCCCTGTGTCCCCAGCCCTCCTTCCCGAGGCGGCGGAAGCACGTGTGAGTGGCTGGCTGCAGAGGCAGAGCATTGACTTCAGGCCTCCAAACCCTCTGGAGGGCAAGAGGCAGTAGCGGCGGTGGCAATCGCAGAACTTTTGCATAACAGTGAGAAAGCCTAATTTTGTAGCCTTTGCATGCTGTGTTCACATTTACTTGTAAACTGCAGTTATCCCATTGGCCACATTGAGCTTTTCAAGTCTCCGGGTGCACATGACTGTGATATTAAAGAAGAGTCTCAGAATACTCTGACTCTCAGACCCTCACACATCCTACAAGCCGACGCAGCTTACGTTACACAAAAGGAGTTTCTCAGACCCTCAGCCGGCAGAGCGAGGGGCGCCGTGTGGAGCTGTGGCTGTGCTTCCTTCGCACTCCGCACCCCGCCCCGGGCTGAGGGCACCCGCAGAGGACAGGGCGGGAATCCAGAGGGGTTCAGACTCGGGCGCAGACCATGTCTAAACCCCGGGGAGAGCTGGCCAGGGAACTGTGCCCTGGGGCCTTGAGGTGTGACCTCCTCCTGGGCTTGCACTGCCTTTTGACCTCAGTTACACCAATGGCTTTGCGGGTGGGTGGCGTGAAAGCTAACGCTGCACGCTGCTTCGGAGACCCCTTTCTGAGGGAAGGCCTGCCGTGGCGACGCAGAGAACTTGTTGTGCACACTGGCTCTGGAGGCAGCTGATGATCACACTCGGCGTCCAGAGAGCCAGTAGAAAAGAAACGGTCCCTGAGCAGCCTGGCTTCTTCAGAGTTCTTAGCACTCTCAGGTGCAGTCGCCAAGAGCCTGGAGGGCAGCGGGGGGCAGCCTGGGCTTTGCCTGCAAGCATCATCGCTCCACTGAGCCCAGCAGGCTATGGCCGAGGCCTGGAGCCTCCAGTTATTTAATGTGGGGGTCCTTTAGTAGCAAGAACTGCATCTGTTGCTAAGAGAGGGAGAGCTGCACAACGCCAACCTCATCTGCCTAAAAGCTAAACTGAGCACAGGGAAGCAATGAGACCATTCCAAAAATGCTCAGTTAAGAGTTCAACCAAATAGCAAGCAAGAAAGAAGGATGCGCTGACGGGCTGTCCCAGAGCAGGATAAGGATCTGAGACGTAATGGTGCCCTCACTGCGTGGTTTGAGTAGACAGACGCCTTCCTGGTAGAGCGGGGTACTCTTTAACCCCGTGAGACCGTCTGCCTGCAGGGCCTTTATGCAACTGCTCCTTTCTCTTTGAACTTGGGACTGGACCTCATGTTCAGTAATCTGAGAGCTCATTGCCCAGTCCCGGCTTCCAGTGGGCACTGGGAGAAAGGACTTCCTTCCTTCCTGGACAGTGGTCCCTCCGCCTCGGGCCACATGGATGCCCCTTCCTGCAGTTCCTGGCCCAGACACTCAGTGCTCGCTGTTAAGCTCTGGATTTGCTTTCCTTTGCCCTCCCTTCACAAGCAGTAGTGCTCCTTCTCTCAATCCCACGTTCTGTGTGGCCCAGGCTGGTGGGCAGGGTGCGTCCCAGACTGGCGCTGTCCCTGTCTGCGGTGTGACAGGCGCTCTCCGCCTTCCCGTCGCCCAGTGGTGCTCCGTCCACTCCTCCCAGAGCTTTAAGTGATCTGAGAAAATGTGAAGGGAAAGGAGGACAGGCGTGGCAAAGGCACAGCCCCGCTCACTCGCTGCTTGTTTCCTAGGGATCACAACCGTGCTGACCATGACCACCATCAACACCCACCTTCGGGAGACCTTGCCCAAAATCCCCTACGTCAAAGCCATTGACATGTACCTCATGGGCTGCTTTGTCTTTGTGTTCCTGGCCCTTCTGGAGTACGCCTTCGTCAACTACATTTTCTTTGGAAGAGGCCCTCAAAGGCAGAAGAAGCTTGCTGAGAAGACAGCCAAGGCGAAGAATGACCGTTCCAAGAGCGAAAGCAACCGGGTAGGCCCTTCCCCTGCCCTGTCCCGTCCCTCCCCTGTGGCGCATGGGCTCTGCATGCACCTGTGCGCCTCTCACAGCACACAGTTGGGGCTGCTTATGGCAAGCCAGTATTTCCCTGTGGTTCCCATGGAAACATGAGTGCTGGTGGTGGAGGAGCCAAACTCTTCCTATTTTCTACTCGATAGAACAGAACAAGGCATTCTAGAATGAATGAAACTCCGGGGTGGTGGCACACACCTGTAACCCCAGCACTCTGAGGCAGGAGGACCCAAGTTTGAGCTCAGTCTGGGCAACATAGTGAGACCTTGTCTTTAAAAATAAGTAGGAGCTGACATGGAGCTCAGTGTGAAGGCCCTGGGTTCATTTTTTAGTATTGGAAAAGAAAGGAGAGAAACTCAGAGGTGTGGGGGCCAAACACAACACATGGAAGCTTTTTCCAAAGTGTTTCCATATTGCTGTAGTTGTCAGATTACCAATTTGGGTTTGATCGTCCAGCCCGCTGGCACGGAGCCATGGAGGAGGTGGGCACCTCGCCTGGTCACCTCCTGTTTGGCCAAGGTCCCTGGGGAAATCCACAGCACACAGGGCGAGCAAGGCGGAGGCGGTGATGGGCCTGGGTGCTCCCTCAGATCTACCTATGCTCGGCCAGGTCCCCGGGTGTCGCCCCTCAGGCTGAGGACACCCTGCCCCCGGAAGCCCCTGGCTGCTTGTGGTGCTAAGAGCGGGGCACAGACCAGTGCCACCTCCTGCCACCCAGCTCCACCTGCAGTCATGTCCTGCCCTGAGCATGGGACTTGGTCACCACTAAAGGCAGTGTTTTATTGCAATTGTAAACAATACTTGAAGGAAATGGCAGCGTCTATATAATTTTTCTCATTTATCCTTCTGACTTTTTCATCTCAGTCTTCAACAACATACTTCTACCCGTTTACAGATTGAGTTCATTTCCACATGTCCAGTGCTCCTCGCTGAAACTAACCTAAGAGGTTTCCCGCACCTTCCTGGGCCCTGGGTGTGGAACGGTCTGCCCCTCTCAGGAGCGAGGCTCTCCTCAGCAGGCTGCCTGCCTGACGTGGTCCAGAGCAGGTCCCAGCTGCTCATGAATGAGTGGGTCCTGTGAAATGAATGCACATGGCTCCCTTCTGCTGAGCAAAACATAAATAGAGTTGGTCAGAAAAACCCAGAATCTGTGAATAAAACCAGGCTTCCCACAGGCAAAATTATCTTGAATTTCTTCCTGGAAAATATCTTCGGTTCCAGACTGTTCTGTTTCTAAGGAGGTCTGCATCCTACTGTGAATACACAATATGGCGTGGCTGTGGTGTTGCCAAGGAAACTAGAATCCATCACATCACTGTTTCCATGACAGAGGCACACGCGTGTATACCCGTGCACGTGTGCATGTACACACACACACGCGCACACACACACACACACACACACACAATGCTGTCTTTCCAAATTCCCACAGAGTATGAATTTGTTTCCTTTCTTCTAAATGAGACTGTTTAGAACTGTCAAACTGTTGGTTATAGAAATATCTTTCTAAGTATAAAGCATAAAATTTTAAACTAAAAGAAAAAAAAGCCCTTTAACATCCACAAAGAAAATTAGCAGAATATAAGAATTTTAAGTTGGATGCAGAATGTTGTTGATTCACAAGTCCATTTTTATTGTTAGTTTTTCTAAAAATTTCCCTTTTGTCCCAGCAATTTTGGTAAAGTTTTCCTAGGTTCATATTTTTTAAAAATCTATAATTGTAGGTTTAAACTCAACATAACAAATAACTATGTGCATACTAATTTTTTTTTATTTTTTGAGACAGGGTCTTGCTATGTAGTTGATACTGACCTGGAACTCACTATGTAGCCCAATCTGGTTTCAAACGCAGTGATCCTCCTGCCTCAGCCTCCTGAGTGCTGGGATTACAGGCATGCACCACCACGCTGGGCTCATGCATACTGATTTTGAAAGTCTATTTGTTGCTCTAAAAGATAAGCATCAGAAAGTGTCCCTGGGCCAGGGTTGGAGCTCAGTGGTAGATTGTTTGCCTAGTAGGCATGGGGCCCTGGCTTCCATCCCCAGTGCCAAGCAAGTTTGTAAAACTTGCTGACTGCACCTGAGGATTCACAGGTAATTCTTAAGTACCAGCGAGCCTCTCCAAAAGTTTATATCAAGTGAGGTAGTTGCATTCAAGAAAAGTGAGAGACGGAAGGAGGGAACCACTGTTCTGTCATGCAGAACAGAAGTGTCAGGACAGCTCGAGCAGTGCTCATTATTCTGCAGTGATGGCCCTGCGGATTGCTTGTCTGCAGGGCCAGCCGCAGCCCACAGCTCCCAGCAGCTGCTCGTGGGCAGCAGGGACTTGGTTTGTCATCTTTCTGCGACCACTAAGGTGTCCAGGGAGACGAGTGAGGAAGACAGTGCCTCGGGGGTGTTGTAGCCACCAGGAAAGGCACTGTGTGACCCAGATGCATCCAGCACAGGAATGCGGTGATCTTACTGTATACCAGGAGTTCGTTTTCCTTAGGCTCAGTGGTTATATAATATTTTAATTCAGTAATTGAGTCATGGGTGGTCACAACGTCCACATACCCACTTAATTTCCTCTCAGACCAGTGGTACAATGTAAGCCCTGACTTTGCTTGTGCACGCTGTTTGTTCTGAGCCGTTCTACCTGGGGATCAGTCCTTGCAGCCCACACGTTAGAGTTACAAGCCTTGTGGTATTTTACGAGTTGACCAGTTGATATTTACATTTCACGAGGTGGCAGAAAGTCCCAATTCTTGCCAAGAAGTCAGAGTTGCAGACTCAATGTCATTTTATAAAGAGCAAGATTTCATTCATCACATCATGGATTCCTTCTAGCTCTTCTAAAACTAGAATTGTTTACTTAACTGGAGCTGCGACGTAAGTAGAGAATGAGATGTCCACAGTGACATCGTGTGGGACAAAAATGAGAGTCCCTCTGTGATGTATTCCAGCTGAGACGTTTTAGGTTTTGATGGTTTCTTCCTGTCAAGGTTGTAGAGCAGGGAGAAAACTACATTGAAATTGACAATTCTAATCCTAGTAGGTATGAGGTGGACTCTTTGATATAACATATTCATGAAATAATTGAAAAATTGCTAGTTATCTGTCATTCTATAAAGTGCATTTCAGCTCTGTATTTCACTCACACTCTTTTTCTATTTTAAGACTTATATTCCAGATTATACAAAAAGATTGCCACCTCTTTTGGAAAATTTTGTTTTAAATATTTGATTTCTAAGATTTAACAGATTTTAATAACCATTAACCTTTTCAGGGAAAAAACCTGCCAAAATTTTTGGTATAAATTTTCTAGATGTTGCTTCACATATAAATGAAATCCAAGTGAATGTAAAACTATAAGTAAGGGAGCTGAACTTATTCTGCACTAAGTTCTTATTGATTAATTCATTATATATTGAAGTTCCTCTGCACGCTGGAGTAAGTCCTACCCCAATTATTGTTTCTGTTACCAGTGTTTGCCCACTCAGAAACAATAATGTAAAATGTTATTGTTCGAGTCCTACCTTGGGAGATCTCTGTACTAAGACAGCTGTAAGTTAGTCACACCCGTCTCAAACTCAAGAGCTTTAACTTTGTAAATTGTTAATGGTGTTCTCGGAGGATCGGGCGTGGCTTCCCTCAGGCTTGGCTTCTTTCACTGGACTTCAGAATCGGAATCTTTGACTCCCACCTCCACAGCACGAGCCATACATACTGGGGAAAACAGGGCACGGGACCATAAAAATGTGTCACCAAGTCCTGAAGACGCAGTTCAACTCAGTTGACTCATTTCTGTGTCTTCCGCGCCTCCCTGTGTGGTCCCTGAAGCATCCAAATGTGTTTAATCTCTTGGGCATCCATCCTCCTGCTCTTGCCGCCTAGAATTCTTTCTTCCTGTTCAGCGTCTTCCCTTCCTTCAAGACCCAGGCAGACGCTGTCTTCCACGGCGCTTCCCTGCCGCTGGTCTGCATCCTGCCTGGTCATTCCCTAGCCCGGAGAGCTGATTCTGTTCTGTTCTCCCCACTTGCATGCCACACGTGTTGTGCTTGTGAAATGGCAAATCACTTACAGTCCTTGTGTGGCCAAGCCTTCCCCTGCTAGGCAGCATCCACTTCCCTGGATCTGCCAGGCTCTGCGCCCCGTGACTGGGTGTGGAAATGCTCTGCTCATCCCGAGTTTGGAGCCTCAGGCTGGGAGCTCTTCAGTGCGTGCTGAGTCCGAGAGAAGGACGTGGGTCACAAGTGCCATCCTCTCAAAGCCACGCACAGCTAGGCCATCAGAATCATGAAAGTTCATCATTCCTTTAAGAATTTACATTTCTTTCCTTGTTATTTTGTTCTGCAGAATTGTTAGTTTGAATCCTTAGAATTTGATAGAAAGGAGCTTTTTGTGTGTTTATTTTTGAGAACTAGAAATAAGATGACATTGTAAAAGTGTATTGAAAAGGCAACACGTGATGTTCCATAATACCTGTTTCTAGTCCTTTGAAGCTGTCTGCTGCTAGACTCCTTGATGTTTGGGGTTAGGGTACTCTTGGAGGTGTCTTTGGCCCAGCCTAGCCCCAGGCAGAATAAGGCGCTGTGGCAGGTGTGTGCTGATGATGACTGGTGTGAACAGTCCCAGGTCCTTATCTGCAGGCCTGAAGGCAGCCCCTCCTGCTGCAGTGGACCGCCTCTCCTTTAGCTCGCAGTCTTCTCTTGGAAACATTACATGGTATTGGAAGAACATCGCTCTGGAGAGAAATAGTAGTTTCTGGGCTTTTTTCTACCTTAAAAGAAACCGTTTAGTTTTCTGAGATTCTAATTTCTAATGTAATAAACTGCTTATTACTGGAAAGAATGAATTCTTCATTGCTACTTTCTAAAGAATCCCAAACATGTTCCATCTTTGGTTATTCTCTGACTCAACTTCAGACAGGTTTTAAACAGATCAACTTACCATTTATGTAGAACACTTTACAGTGCTAGACATGTTGAGTTTCTTTAACGCGGACTGATTCCATCTCCCTGCGTGGTAAGCAGTGTGTTTTCTTGTGTGATGTTTGCTGGGGTGGGGCTCACATGCGCTCCTGCAAGCTGAGATGGTGCAGCAAACTGAATTCACAGGACCCCAGAGGTCCCCTCCCTCTCCCTGCATCCTGTCTGGGACGAGAAGCCCCGTGTCCTCTCCCATCCAGATCACTGCTTCGGAGCTGTGTCCCCAGATGCCACCTCACCCCCACTTCTGGGTGCTGACCGGGACCCCTGCTGGCAGCTCATCCCGTCTCAGGAGCGCCTGGACTGGTCTCAGGCTCCTCTTCCCGCGTCTTCATGGCACCTTGAGAGACTCCGTCTGCCAGACCTCTGGGTGAGTCCCTGGCCCTGAAGACAACAGACAGCATTTTCCACCAAGAGACTGCCCATCCTTCAAGGGAAGGTGACACAAAGAACAGATACGCAACCAGAGTTTCAAAGCCCTACTTTACAGAACCCCAGTGCTCTTGGTACTTTTGAGATACAACCATCATTGGAATTTTCCCTCCAAAGGATAAGAAATAAGGAAACCATGATATTTTTCTGTCATTGCCACTGCTCCTCGGGACGTGTCTTGTGAAGGCCCCCAGCACGCACAGTGTATCATCTTGGGCCTCCTATCTCAGAGCTCCAGCCTGCTTGCTGCCTTCCCTTCCCGGGAGATTGAGAGCCCCACGGTGGTGCTCTTCGTCCTGTAGTTCCCCCACAGCACCCTTTGGCACCAGCAAGCAACCTGCAGGCTGCTGACCTGCCGGCTGCAGCGTGGGAGTCCAGCTGTGGGCTCACACAGCACCCGAGCACATGGGCCCCGGGTGGGTCCCAGTCTAGGGACTGTCTGTCACTCCTTCCTGCCCTCAGAACTGAGGAGCTGCAGAACCAACCAGGTGGGAGCCAAGCGTGTTGCTGCTGCCGCTGCTGCTGCAGACTCGGAGGGAGACCTAGCAGAAATATGGGACCTGGCCGTCACCATGGCCAGAGGGGACAGTTATCTGAAACTCTGGGCATGTCCCCAGACTTCCCTACAGGAAACGGAGCCCAGTGCAGTGTACGCTAACTAGGGCCCCTCTTGTTACTGCTTGTATCAAATCTTGACTTTTATTCAGTCTTGCAGTATTAGGCTGTGCTTCAGAAATATGTCATGTTTCTACTTAGAAACTGCTTTTCCATCTTTTTATTAAAATGTGCAGTTGAGATTCCTTAGCATGACATACAGAATACCCCGCTGGCCCCTTGCTGGCCTGCCTCCCGCTCACCACGAGGCCCTCTCCGATGCCTGTAAGAGGCTGAGGGCGACACTGACAGGGCCACGCGGTGCACAGAGGCTGGGCCGGGCGGGCCTTCAGTGTGCCGCACTTTGGTCTTTCTGCTTTCTCAGGGACTCGCTTTCCACTCTGCTAGTGCGCCTTTCTCACAACACTTAGTCGCCAGACCTTCGCTTATAATTCTGTTCCTACTCTTTGTCTGACAATGTGTACTTTCCCTCCCTGCTTGGGAATCGCACTTGGGCTCTCACATGTACTAGGCAAAGCCCTACCACTGAGCTTTCCCCGGCCGGCGGTGTGCTCCTGTCCCCTCCCTCTGCTCCCTCAGTAGTGCCGAATGACCACAGCTGAGCAGGGTTAGGCCACGTCCGCTGTGGCGTCACAGAGCCCCCGTCGGAAGTGCAGAGCCTGGACCTTCGGGCCCTCCACGCACGGCTCCCAGACCCACGGCACTCCTGCCATCGCTGGGGCTGCCCTGTCCTCCTCCTTCCTTAACACCTCCCTGCAGCTCCATTCAGGGTGATCCAGTCTGCGAAAGCCGCGCCTTCCTCTGGTTTCCTTTCTCTGACTTTTGCTTGTGCCTCCAACTCACAGAATTTCTCTCCCGTGCTTCTGAAAATTCACACACCCAGGTGGGATGATGGGTACCTCTCTGTCCTGAGGTCGTCGCCGCACTTGCATCTGCAGGGTCCCTTTGCAGCCCCACGGTGTGACCCCTCGCCTGGCGTCCACGCGCCTCTCCTCCCGTGGTGTGCTCACACCCGCTGCTGTGCTGCCTTTCTGCCGCGGCCTCTGCCGAGCTCAGGCCGTCCCTGTGAGGGGCCTTCTCCTCCGTGCCCACACCCAGGCCTCCTCCCTGCACCTCGCCGCCTCCAGAGGAGTGAGTCACAGGGACAGCCTCGGGCAGTGAGCCGGTGGGGGTGCAGGAAGGCTCCGCACAGACAGAAGGACCAGGGGACTCTGCTCCAGGCCGGGTGGGAGAAGGGTGGGCGTGCACCCGGGGAGGCGGCCGCACAGGGTGGGCCACCACGCCTCACCCCACGTGCTCCGCTGCAGACCAGAAACCAGACCGCTAGCGTTGTCAAGAAAGGCCTGAAGCTCCATTTAGCACAGAGTAAAAGGTTGTTTGACTTTGGTTCCATTGGGGAAGAACTCTTGTCTGTTTTAAATGTAGTCCTAAAAAATAAATATTTGCGCTGTAATTTTCTCTTCGGTAAAGATTCATACCCGTAATACAAAGTTTCAGATTGAAAATGCCCCACTTATTTTCGCTCATCTCCTGTGGGAGAATTTTCCAATCAAGGAAATAAAATTTCTTAAGTCACACTTACATCTCCAGAATGACATTTTCCAATAAGACAAAGCCCTGGTCCCAGCAGGTGTGCAGCTTCTCACGGAATAGAGGAGGCACGACACCACTCTGTCCCAGGCTGCAGAGGGCAGTTAGCTTTGCGGGAGGGCGGGTGCCTCACCGGTGCACTCTCTCCCCATCAGGTGGACGCTCATGGAAACATTCTGTTAACATCGCTGGAGGTTCACAACGAGATGAACGAGGTTGCGGGCGGCGTCGGAGAGACCAGGAATTCAGCAATATCCTTTGACAACTCAGGAATCCAGTACAGGAAACAGAGCATGCCCAGGGAAGGGCATGGGCGGTACATGGGAGACAGAGGCATCCCGCACAAGAAGACCCACCTTCGGAGGAGGTCTTCGCAGCTCAAAATTAAGATCCCCGATCTAACCGATGTGAATGCCATAGACAGATGGTCCCGGATCGTGTTTCCATTCACTTTTTCTCTTTTCAACTTAGTTTACTGGCTGTACTATGTTAACTGAGTGACTGTACTTGATTTTTCAAAGACTTCATTTAACACTGAGTGAAATATTACCCTGCCTGTCAAGTTTTTATACTTGTACACACACAGACACACACACGCAGACACACACATATATACATACACAACTGTATATATATGTGGACTTTCTCAGCATATATATAAAATACAAGTGTCTATGTGGATGTATGTGTATATGTTCATACACACAGGTGTGAGCACCCATGTGTATGTCTTTATATACACATGCATACATACATTTTGCAGCTACGGACAATTTAACACAGGATACATATTAAAGAACGTCATAGTTTTTTCTTTTTTCATTGAAAGGGACAAGTATCATCTAAATATTATGCCTTGAGAATGAGGGCGTGAAAGACAACACCATTCCAAAAGTGTGTCTTTTATTATCATAAGTTAGATGTTTTAGTTGAAAACTCAGAGAGACATTCTTAGTTAATTTTTGGAAACTCATACAGTGGTACTGCTAGTTTAATTCGAGTCTCGCACTTCAGATCCTCTTTTTCAGTTTACCAAGCAGAGGCTTGTTGGCTTTCCTGGTGACTGGTTTTGTTTCCTCGGGTACACTTTCTCTGCCCTGGTTTAGCAGGTGAAGTGTTCGCCCGCTGTCTTAAGCGTAGGTAGATCCCACGTTGACGTCCTCACGTCCACCTCTGGAATCCCATCGGGAGCGAATGGCATCTCCTTGTAAGTACTCACTACCCTGCGTGACTAGGGTTTTTCTCTTCCCTGGAGTGGCTCCAGCCTAACTGTCGTGTGGGAACACAGTGGCATGTATTGGCAACGGCGTTTCAATCCTTGAAAACGTGTTCTACACCTCGTCTGGATTCCTAGGCCTGATATCTAATAGAAAGCATAGAAGTCTCAGGTTCTTTGTTACATCTAGGATGATCTCCCCCTTGCAGTTATGTTATCGATCATTCTTATAACATTGTATGTTAATATAAAATATATTTGCATAATATGCATACATATGTATATTTACCAAGATTTTGTTTCTTATGCTTGCTATCATGGCAGCATGCGGTGTCATATTTTTTGTTATGTGATGTAACTACTTTCTGTTATCTAGAAATTAAGATTGAAGCTAAGCACTTCTACTGTTCGCTTTCAGAAACTAAGAAACATCCTCACGCCTTTATTTTGTATCTGACATATCTCATAAGCACATCCAGCCACTCCTAGGCCAACTAGGAATCTGCAGGAACACGACCAGTACACACACCACGCACCACCCATGACCCGTGACCGTGCTCTGAGGCTGAGGAAGCGACCTGACTTCCGGTTCCTTCGACCCACAGCCTCAGCAGTATTTGAACTTTTTAAAGCTCGCAGAAACAAGACAAGGTGCACCGGTTTCATAGACGCAACCTTAACTTACTATTTAGATGAGATCTTTCTAAAGAAAAAAAGATGATATATTTTTTGTAAACAATATTTCTATCACAGGCATCCATAAACTGATATGACTACAGTTGTGCAAACAGGCGTCACAGTGAAGTTAAGCATTTGGAGGACAAAATAAAAAGCAGAATATGCAGGAAAGAACTACTACATTAATAGTTTATCAGAAAATGCCACACATGCTTCACCCCCTCTGTTCTGTCCTTAATGAATGGCCGTAGTCTGGCCTAGTGCTCACAAGGCTGGTGCCACAGGGCCAGCACTGCCCCTGCGAGGACGCCTGGCACACTGTCACCAAGTTGGCCACACCTTGGTTTTGCTCCGGTGACCATAGCAGCCTTTAACTGTGGGAGCCTGTGCCAGTTCAAAACCCACCGTCAGATAAAACATAATCCACAAAAGTCTCATGCGAGAGGCAATGACTGATTTTTATGCCCTCTTCCCTCTTACATTCCTGTCTTTCTTCAAAGTCTTCTCCTAACTGCTGCTCTCTGATTTTATTTTCTCTGGAGACAAGCCAAGGATTTCGTGGTCTTTGGCATCTCTCTGGCAATTTTTTTTCCTGGGAAACAATGGGTGGGGGATTCTAAAAGTCAAACAGTTTGGGAATAAGCCTTGTAAGTGGCCTTATCATTGTTAATATGTTAAAGAAAAAGGAGACATTTGTGAAGACCTTCTCCCTTTCAAAGCTTCAGGTATCTTTTTCTGTACCCAGAAATTCAAAGTGTGAGTTCCTCATCAGAGCAGGGACCCCAAAATGCAAGTGAACATGGACAAAAGCAGCTGGTGATCAATTTAAGTGTATAATTTATACTATTCAGAACTGTGATATTCATTTCTTTCTGGGAGAAAAATGATTCAAAACTTTTGTTATGCATAGTTGAGGTACCCAAATATGAAAGGTGGAGACCCCGCGGGGCTCAGGAGAGTGGCGGTCCACTTCCTGAGGTTTTCTGAATATAAATCTGCATGGTATAGTCATAATAGCTTTTGAGCTTTTTATATACATTTGGCACCAAGACTGGGGATCCACAACTTTGTAGACACTGCGATGAAGCTAACATAGTAGCTATAATATAAATAGTGTTTGTTACCACACACACACAATACACACACCTACATGCATACATACATACATATATTATGTAAAAAAAACTTTTTAAGATTCTTGGGTATGTGTTTGCTTTACTCCATTTAAGAAGAAAATTACTTTTCTTCTAATAAAATTATTTTATAGCTTCTCCATTTTTAAAAGTTGTGAGTAGTATTGAGAAGAGAACTCCGCTGTGTTAAAGGAAGAGACTTCAGTGTGATTCTGTTCTGTTCAGTGACCTCCTCTCCCACAGTAGTTACGTGAGCCCATGAGTGGGCTGTGGTGGGGGACTTAGAACCCAGGCCTCTGACATGATGGGAGGTGGCTGTCGCCTACACCAAAGACCTCTGGAGTAAGGAGAAAAGTTCAATTTGGGATTCAATGAGATTTCTTTCTCCACAACCAAAAGTAATAAACTGTTCATTTCTCAGTAGTCCTGTCTTTCCCGAGTGCTTCCTTCACAGGAGGCTTAGAATGCACAGAACAGTCTTGTGGTGACAGTCTGTGATTGCCCTGAGACAACTCAAGAGTCCCCTGTAGAGTCCTGCCGAGAAAGACTGGTCAGACTTGAGTCATCTTTAACATGAGCGTCACTTCTCTCCACCAACCCCAGACTGTGGAGGGGTTTTGCTGTCTATACCATGAGAAATTCATTCCCCTCTATCTCCCATGAACTAGAGAGTAGATCATGATAATATTTCCACTAGGTTTTCAGTGACATGTCCTGTAGTGACATGAGTTTTTAGTGCCACCATGGGAACCTTGACATCGTTGGTCCCTCCCATCAAAGACACTTCCCTCCTGTCCAAACATGGAATGAACGTCTTCACCAAGGTGATCATCTCAGAGCTGACACCATACACACTTGGGACTGGCTTTAAGGGGACAGACACACTGCAGTGTAGATGTTCGTGTTCAGCATCTACAAGATAATCTTTTGGTGTTTGTCCCAACACAGCATTTTCTAAAAAGAGATGTGTCTAACTTCAACTCTCCTGGCTTGATAGTATAAACCATTCCACAACTCTTATTTTAATGTTCCACCTGAAAACCAGTTCGTATTTCTGGCTGTTTTGTGTAAACAAAACTTGAGAAATGGCTGAAATGTTTTGTTACTCTTGGAATGGGCTCAGGCTCCCCTCTTACCACGAGCCCTCCACCAGAGTAATATTGGGCAAAGAGCTGGCCAGGTGGATTAAAATTTCCTAGGACACTAGATAGTGTGCCTTGGATCAATTACCTCTTCTACTGCATTGAAAGGTGCCATGTTTCCTGAAATACTAAATTCCCGACACCTGGATACACTGCAGCCTCCCGGAGAGTGGCTCACAAACCACCCCAGACCGCGCCTCTCCCTAGGGGCAGCCCCAGGAGCCTGTTTTGTCATCCTTGTGTCACTTTTCCATTTCACAAGTCAGTGAGTGTTTAAGGTAAGTACAGGATCACTCTGGTAGGAACAGGCGATGCTGTCAGGACCAATTCCCACGTCGATTTCATTTCACTGTAAAGATAAATTTAAACCCGGTTTTGCTTAAGCACATTGATGTAATTTTTTGGTATTATATGACATGAAAACAAAACAGCAAAATTGAGTGATAGATAACAATATGAAACTTGTTGATGAATGAATTCAAATTTATTAAAAAAGGACTAACTGACTTAAATACAATGCGTTTTTTCTTTCTTGGCTGACTCGTTGAAATGGTGTGGTTATTTTAAACCCAGTCATTTTTAGTTGCACATGCATTTTTACATACTGAAAGTAAACGAAATAAGCCCAAAGTTGATTGCCTAAGAAACCAGTTGAGCTATGATGTTTTTTAAAAAAATCACAATTCATTCTGAACTTCAAGGATCAACAAGACACACAGAGCTCTAACTTGTATTGGTGTTCAAATGAGTGCTTTAAGTAAGAAACTTTTATACTGAAAGCGGGGGAATCAGTCTACCAGTAACCTTTAACCAGGCTAGTATTGGCCCTTGATGAGGCAGTTTCCCTGGTTTCCTCTCCAGCAAGAAAGTAAGAAGCAAAGCTTCGAAATGAATGAATGAATGAATGAATGAAGGATCCAGGGACACCAACAGTCACAACTCTCAGTGGGAATTGTGATGTCTGCAGGCACTCAGGCTGTTAGATCACCTGCTGACCCCTGAACAGAAACCTCAGAGTGGGTTTTAACCCTCGAAGATGGGGGTGTTTCATAGCAGGTTTGCCTCCACATGCACACATGGACTCTGAGCAAAGCAGCGCAAGTTCTCCACAACAGCCCCATGATGGGGGCGCCTCTTTGCATTCTCCTCTGACACCCTAACTTGGGCGTGTTTCACACAGGCGCTGCATCGATGGCTGGCACTTGACAGGGAGTCGTTTCTCATTACCTCACTGAGCTGCATATTCTGTCCCAGGTGACAAGTTTATATGATCAAAAACTGCAAAAGAGAATTTGCAAATTCTGACTGAGGGTCTGAAATTTTCTCTAGAAAGCACCCTCCAGGTGGCTGGAGGAGCCCTCATCGAATGTGGTGTCCAGTTTTCCCCAGAGAGCCCCTCCAGACTGCCCACTCCCCTCTCCCACGGCTCCATGGCCCATGTTCATATTTGGCTCCAGTATACAGTTGCCGCTCTAACCTTCTTTTGACTAGTTTCTAAAGGACAGGGACTGTCAGCGCTCCTAAGAATGAGAACATTATTCTTCAGAAAAAACTGCATCTTTGATGCCTTGATACACTTCCAAGGTGAAACCTTCATCCCACATTGGATGAGCCATCAGTGGCAACTTGGTGAGGTGCTCCTACCGTCAGAGGGACTCGAACCCCATGGCCCTTGCTTCTGTAGATGAACAGGCCCCAGTTAGAATCCATCAACCAACAGTGCAGAGAATGCTTGTGTATAAAATAGAATTCACTGGTGTTGGAGTAGACAAAGTAGCAGACTCCATGTGCCGGGCTCTGGGTTCAACCCTCGGCATAAAAAAAGCAATGAAACAAAACAAAACAACTTGAAACAAATACGAAATTAATTAGGCCCTGATAGGTAGATGGTTGTAAGACACCAGCTACATAGCATAATCCATTTCCCATTTCACTGGGCTATGACACATTGGGTCTGCTTCTATTTTTCATTTAGTACATAATAACTGCACATATTTATGGGGTACGGTGCACTACTCCAATTCTTAAATACAGTGTGTACTAATCAAATCAGGAAATTAGCATTGTCATATCTGTATCATTCCTTAATATTTGCAGCCTTCATGGTTCTCTCTTCTAAGGAATCATAACGTGTAATAGGTTAACGTGAATTATAGTCACCCTGCTGTACTGCAGATAATCAGAACTCACTCCCCTATCTGCTATGAGATCAGCTTTTAGGTTGCACATCTGTGAAAGAGAGAGAGCATTTAGTGATTATCTTTCTGTGCCTGGTTTATTTCACAACATAATTTCTTCCACTTCCATCCATTTCACCTCAAATGACAGCATTTCACTCTCCCTATGGTTGAATACTATGCCATTGTGTATAAATGCCACGTTTTCTTTGTCCACTCACCCGTGGGTGGGCAGCGAGGCTGAGATCTGGTCTATTAGGAACAGTGCTGTGCTCAGCAGGATGCCTCATTGCCGGCATGAGAGTCCCTACCTGGCTGCCCACTGCTTAACCCACAGCTGCCAGAGTGCACATTCATATCTGGCTACATCTTAAATTCACTCCAACTTCCTCTTTATTGGCTTCTCAAGGGTGGGGATTTTAAATTGTATTTCTCTCCTTTCCACCTCACATCTTCTGTCACTGTCATTATTCTTTTACATTATCAAGTTTAAAAACATTTGCATTCAGCCAGAAATCTTAAAATTATGTCAGCATTTAATATTTATTTATAGATGTAACCTAAAAGTTGAAAACTATGAGCAAGTCACATTGCTAAACTGTACTTTGTAAATACAGTTAAGATTTTAGTATTTTGTTAAAATATGTCAAGATAATTGTTAGAACAAGAGTGAAACAAAGTCAGAAACATTGTAGTTTATCCGCTAGAATGTGGGCTCAGTGGTTGACATGCGAGAAAAGGTTGCCCTGTCAGTGTTACCCTGTTGACAAGTAACATTCAGAACTCTAACTTTACTTCAGCCTGAAGGGTTCTGCTTATACATTAGTTCCAAGAGTTGGAAACCAATGAACAACTGTGCTGTTACTAGAATTACATAAACATTACTCAGAGCAGAACTAAACAATTTTCCTGGGTGTCTTTCCCAGCTTTAGAAGTCCAGTGTCTCGAGTTAGGCTGCTCAAAGGAGAGTAGTTCTAATATTTGAGTAAAGTTAATTACTGTTCCATTAATCCTCTCAGTTGAACATGGCAAGTATGTTTGTATGAGGTCTTTCCTAAGTATAATTCCTCCCATCACCCACAAATACTTATTGTGGGTTTTCTGCTTTTCCGTTCCTTTTTCTTAAGGGGGAAATAATTATATGCTTTCTTGACCATGCAGCAAATCTACTCCACCACTTTAGTTATGTAATTTGCTGCTGGAAACCATTTCCACTTCCCATTATGAAGATATTCCTCCTGGTTCTTGCTTATAACCTGTACAAGTTAAAGCACCTTACTTTTGGATCTGAGGCAAAACTCCCATCCTGCTCTTTCTTTCCATTTGACTTCCAGATTCATTCCATGATCTTTTCCCCAGTAGCTATGTCCTCCCATTTTATCCATTTCACCTCAGTTCAAAATTATTAGTGTCCCAGGGAGGGTGTATGTGACATAAGTTCTTGGAGTTTTGTGCGTATCTGAATACTTGCCTTGATCTTTTATATTGAACTAATATCTAAGTGTTGACTTGTGGACTGAAAATTCGTTTGGCTAAACTTCTGGTGTCACCATGACCTTGTGTTTGTCTGGTGTGGGGGGTAACAGCTGTGACACTGGATGATCATTTTAGGTGACTCACCTCCAGCTCTTCATTCCCCCATCTGAAATGGCAGTAGTGTAAGGGCTATTGCATGACTTTCTGATATTTCACAAGGTCTATGTAATGTGAATTTTTTTTTTATTATGGTGTCATGTAGGGAACAGGGAAATGGGACATTACTGGAACCTCTGCAGCAAGCCCTAGTCTCCTGCAAGCCATGACAGCACATAAAGAATAAATTTATTCTGGGCAGCAAAGACAAAAGACCCCAGTTTGCCACCCCTTTAATCAGTACATCAGAAGAAACAAATATAGCAGATGACTCAGAGGGCAGCTGGGGTGAGGATTCTAGAACAATGAGGAACTGTGCAGGTGAAGATTTTGTTCCTCCCAGGACGTCTTCAGCTGGTGTAAGCCTGCCCTGGAGCATCACAGCATCACTGAACCACTGAGGTCTTAACTGTGACCGGAGGCCAAAATGGAGCCATGTCCTCCACATGCCATAGCTGGCCTGTAGGCAGGAGAATGAGGCCTAATCATAATTTTAACTGTGAAATGATTTTTCCCAAAAATTATGTAGAATTGTTCCCAACAGTGTTAGATCTTGGGGAAACCTCTGTCTAGAGGTCTGTATCTCTTAGCTCCAAACATTTTTCTATCATTTTAAAGAAAATCTCCTGTCTTTCTTTATGCTCCTACTAGTCATCATTTGCAGTTAATAGTTTGATCTTTGTCCTAGTCTGTTTTCTGTTGCTGTAACAGAATACCCCAGACATATGAATTAATAAAGAAATGAGATTCATTGAGTCTTAGGAAAACCCAAACTGTGGTGTACTTCAACTCATGACAAAAAAACAAAACAAAACAAAACAAAAAAACAACCAACAAGAGAAGTGGGCACAAGTGAAAGACAGAAAATGGGGGAATTCCCCAAGGTAGCTAATTCATTCCCAGGAGAAAAGCAATCAACCCCTTCACGACAAATCCACCCCTAGGACTCACACACCTCCTCTTAGGGCCTACCTCTCAGTACCTCCCTGCTGGGGAGCTGAGCCTCCTGTGAGTGAGCCCTGGTGGACACAAATCAGACTCAAACCCAGCACTTCTTAACAGAGATCTTTCATCCTAGTGTAGGTGTGTTTGACTTTGTCTGTTAACTATGTGTTCTAGGAGACTTGTTTTACCTTTTGACAATTCTATTGCATTTTCTGAACAGCACTTTTGAGTTATAAAAGGTGTGCAAAAGCACATATATTTAAAGCGTGCAATTTATTAAAAACTGACTTCTGATACCATCTTCATCCACCCCAAAATAGTTTTATGAGTGCCACTTCCTAGCATCTGCCCCTCACTTCATTCCTGTCTCCAGACAACAACCAGTGAACTCGCAACAATGGATATGAGAGATCAGTTTGAATTCTCTGCAATTTTATATAAGTGGAGCCAAACAGGATGCAGTCTTTGTCTCTACTCTCAGTATATTTTGAAATCCATCCGTGTTGTTTTATGTAGCAGGATTAACTACATTTCACTTCTGAATAGTATTCTTTTGTGGGGATGCAACACAATAGTATACCCACCCATCTGTTGATAGATATCTGAGTTGCTTCCCTTTTGACTCCTACCCATAGAGCTACTGTAAACATCCACATATAAGTCTTTTCATGGAGCTATGCTTTCATTTTTATGGGTGAATATCTAAGAGTGGATCTTATGGTAGTTTATGTTTAACTTTTTGTGAAACTACCAGATAG